GACTTTTTAAATCAGAGAAAAACACTTCCCTTTTCTTCCATGGTAGATGGTGGCATTTCCGTGTAGTTAAGTCTTCTTGCTTCTCTTTCCCCCTTATGTACACTGCAGTGAAACTCATGAAGGGCTGAAGGGACCAGGCTTCAAAAACCAAAGGCGGGGTGGGGAGAGGGAGGATCATATCCTCGTCAATGAGGGTGGCGTGTGATGGGGACTCAATGCCCACCTGTAGACAACTGGACATATCTTGCAGAGGGGTAGTGGGGAGGAGATGAGTCACTTAGGGTTCAGTATAGCAATAATGAAACCCACAACCTTCCTCCAGTTCTTAAACGCTTCCTCCCCCCAACTACCAGGACCCCAATTCTGCCTTGCAGACCTGGTTAGACCAGGGGATGCACAGCGGTACAGATGGGAATTGTAAACGCAGGGAATCTAGGACAGATGAACCCCTCAGGACCAGGGGTGACAGTGGTGATACCAGGAGAGAAGGGGGGGGTGTGTAGAAAGGGGGAATTGATCACAGGGATCTACAAATAACCTCCTCTCTGGGGGATGGGCAGCAGAGGGGTGGGTGAAGGGAGATGCAGGGCAGTGTAAGATAAGATATAATAATAATTTATAAATTATTAAGGGTTCATGGGGGAGGGGGAGGGGGAAGGGAGGGGAAGGGGGAAAAAGGAAAATGAGCTGATTCCGGGAACCCAAGAGAAAAGCTAATTTTGGGAATGCTGAGGGCAATAAATGTATAGGTGTGCTTTACACAATTGATCTATATATTGTGATGAATTTTATGAGCCCCAATAAAATGATTAAATAATAAAAAAAGAAACTCTTAACGCTAATCACTCCTGGAAGAGCAGACTATATGATGCTTTCATAAATAAATATTAGTGCATTTGCCTCCTGCCAGCCCAAGCCAGATTTTCTTGGCTGCTTATTTCTCCAGTTGGCAAAATGAATATAATTTCTGATATAAAACTTTGGCTGCTCCAGATATATACATGAACAAAAGTAGGATTTCCACTTACATAATATTATATGTATTTCTATTGGTGAAATAGTTCTGTTGGTGCTCTTACGGTCTAACAGGCATATTAAAATAATACGATACATGATTAATAGTTCAAATGTTTAGAAGTACGTTGATAGAATTAAAGAGAATATGAAATAAAAAATATCAACCATAATATTAGTAAATTTTCATTTTTCCCCAATGGTAAGCTAGATAGCATAAAAAGAGGTACCCCAAAATACTGGATTTTTTTTCAAAGCTATGTATTTAAATTTTTTTTAAAAAACAACCTTATCACCTTCAAAGTACTTGCCATTACACTTAATACATTTGTCAAATCTGTAATTCCATTCTTGGAAACATTTTTCAAACTCATCTGTTTGGATGGCTGACAGCAACTCCCTCGTTTTGTTTTTTTTCTTCCTCTCTGCTATGTCATCAAATCCCTGTCCTTTCATGTCCCTCTGGATTTGCAGAAGCAAAAATAGCTAGCACGGAGCAAGGTCAGGTGATTGGATTGCAAACCATCAAAGCTATACTCATGGAAGGACAGCTATCAAGGGAGAAGCCTGCTTGTAGAACAGGGTTGAGATCAAGTAACTAACTGTTCACAAAGGGAGGTGGGAGTTGCTTCAATGTGGAAGCATCCAACAACGTGTTAAGTTGTCACAGAACCATCCTGGACCTTTACAGTGAGACATAATATACATTAATTGAACATCTTTAGTTTTCAGAAGAAAAGCAGATTATGATAAATTTTGGGATGAATCACTAATCTTACATTTATTGTCAACATTTTAAGTTTAGTCCTAATATCTGTAGCAGTTTTTGATGTTTATTAGGGAATCAACATGGGGCCATTTGTGCTAACTTTAATGGTAGAAATCATGCCTTCCCTGTGGTGGATGCATGCTTGATTCCTGACCAATGCAACTCATGTCTGTCAGTTGAGACTTGAATGTTGCTGTGACACTAGACATGGTTTAACAGATGGTCTCGTCCAAGATGAACGACGAAGAAAGATCTGGTGATCTAATTCTGAGAATCAGCCAATGAAAACCCCACGAATCAAAATGGTCCAATCTGCAATTGACTAAGTAAATGACACAGAATCATGCAAAATTTCATTTTGTTCATGGAGTTACCCTGACCCTGGCCCAATCCCATATGAGCTAAAAATCAATGGTCTATCATTTGAAAAAGGTGAAAAAAGGCATTTTGCAAAATATCGCTGATCATTGACTATCAGGGTGGTAATTACTCGTAAGACACGAGCTTGCTTAGAATGTGGGATGAACATATCACTATGTATTTGTGACCTCATACTGTTCTTAAGACTCTGTAGTAAAACAGCACGTCCCTGCTGACTTCTCTATTGCTACTAGACGGGTCAGACATGCCTCTACTCCATCTTTCTTTTTTCTGACATCAACTGTTTCTTCCACAGCCTTCTACCTTTTTGCTGGGTTTCAAAATTCATTCCAATGCCTTCACAGAACTCACAGACAATATTCACAATTAAGGAGATTTATTAGGGGAGTTAATACGTTACCACAAGCCACGATTCGCCAACAGTAAGGACACAGTCATTGGTTTACACTACACCTCTTTTCAGCAAGTAGCAAAGACTTTCCCCAGTTCTCAGACTCTCAGTCAAATGGCCAGTTAGCTTCTCTGTAGACAAGGAAGCCAGCTTCCTGTTCTACTGCACAGGCTCATAGTCTCAGTGCTGCTTCTCTGTTTCTGTCTCCTTCCTCAGCCTCTTGTGCCTCTGGCCTTTGCCTGTGCTACTTCAGACAGAGATCTCGAATGGGCTATACTTTTAATGGTTCCGGGATTCCTTTCTCTGCTCTGGCTCCAAAAATGGCTCATCCTTATAGCCATGTAAGTGGCAACTGAAACTGACCAGTCCCCTCTATTAGTGTTAAACATGCCCTCTTTGCATAGTCCCACCCAATCATTCCATGGGAGTGACAGACACACGGATAAAAAGTCAGAATAAGAAATTTTGCCTCCGCAGTGTTTCTCCCACCTAAAACAATGGGACTGACAGTTTAGGGGACATGGAGAGGGAGGACCTGGGGGAAAGGAAGTGGGTGTTGACAAACCCAGGGACAAGGGAACAACAAGTGATCCAAAATCAATGGTGAGGAGGGTGTAGGAGGCCTAGTAGGGCTTAATCAAGGGCCGTGTAACCAAGAGGAATTACTGAAATCAAAATGAAGGCTGAGCATGATAGTGGGACAAAGAGGAAAGTGAAAGGAACTAGAGGAAAGAACCAGGAGGCAAAGAGCATTTATAGAGGTCTAAATGCAGGCATGCACATATGTCAATACATTTATATACAATATGGGAATAGATCTATGTACATATATTTGTACATTTAGTATTAAGGTAGCAGATGGACATTGGGCCTCTACTCAAGTACTCCCTCAATGCAAGAACACTTTGTTCTATTAAACTGGCATTCCATGATGCTCACCTTCCCAACATGATCACTGAAGACAAAACAGGTGCATAAGCAAATGTGGCGAAGAAAGCTGATGGTGCCTGGCTATCAAAAAATATAGCGTCTGGGGTCTCAAAAGCTTGAAAATAAACAAGTGGTTATCTAGCTGAGAAGAAACAAAGCCCACATAGGAGAAGCACATCAGCCTGTGTGATCATGAGGTGTAGATAGGATCAGGTATCAGGCACCAAAGACCGAGAACAAAAAAATCATATCATTGTAAATGAGAAGGAATGGAAAGTGGAGACCCAAAGCCCATCTGTAGACAATTGGACATCCCCCCACCCTTTTTTTTTCACCTAAAAACTTTAGGTTTTATTACTTTTTATTGAAAACTGCCCTGAACGCTAAATGTTCACCTTTACAATAAACAAATACAGGAACAGGAACACACACTAAAACAAAACATACTTCGAATAGCCATTATTTTTCTGTTTGGGACAGTTTAAATTATTTTTTTGTCACAAAACAGGAATGTACCTATACACAGGCTCAAAATAGGCCATCTTTCCAACAAAAAAGGTGATGTGTCTCAAAGACTATGAATATAGCATGTAGCTAGTTAATATAAATCTAAGAGGAATTGTTAAAATTAGTCACATCTAGTAACACATCTGAAGTGTTCTTATATAAAATATCACCTGAAGAAAAGAAAAATGTATCAATGTCTAAAAAAGTGGGTTTGTTCATAGACAATCTGACAAGTTACCATAAAAAAGGGTTTCCTGAGACATAAGGAAATGCAACATTCTTCTTCTTGAACTGGCTCAGTTCAAGACTTTCCACTCCATACAATAGCCAAAGATCTGAAACTGAGAAAATAGATCTGAGTACAAACAGCTTGTGAAACTTAATACTTTTTTACTTTTTCTCATTTTTTTGCATCATCATAAGGCATTGCTAAGCTGGTGCCCCTGTACCCTCTCAGTCTGCAGCTCAAGGGTGGGGACCCTGTGGACAGGTACCTGTGCTGTCTTCCGTCCTTGGGTGCAGTGGTGACAGGCAAGTCGTGTCTACCCCAGTGTGACCATGTCATCATCCTATCAGCAAAACGGAGCTGCAAGGGACCAGAGTCATGGGGGGGGGGGGTTGTTCTTGGAAAAACTCCTGATGTAACATTCAAGAGCAAGGTGCTCTAAACTACTGGTTCACAAGAAAAGTACAGAAAGTGAGAATAAATAGTTAAAATGTTGTACCATTTAACACAGTACATTTTTTTGGTCTATTGAGCTTAATAGTAAACTAATCAGACTTATTTTTGTATATCTTTTCTTTCATTTTCAAATAAATTAAAATAAATGTACTAGTCTCAGAAAAATCTGCCATGACTGGTAGTTCAATAGATTCTGGACTATCCTACTTTGAAAAATGCTTTTGGACCTTTTCTGGCATACTCTTAAATATCTAAGACTTTGAGTACTACAAATTTAGTTTTTTTGGTGTGTTTTCTCCACTATTTTCAGAAATAAAATGCATCATATCTCTTGTCGGCCTTTTGGCTAAGATCAAGTGTAGTATCTGTTCTTATCAGTTTAATATCTGTTAGGTCCTCTATCCAAGGACAATATAGTAAATGGATTTTTGAAGCAGAGAGATGGAATAGGAGCTTGCTCCGTCCGCTCCATGCTTCCACCTGGTATTGCAGTACTTCCAGAAATGGTGTACCTCCTTGGGGGAAGTAAAAAGAAAAGAAAATCATCTTATGTCCAGAATTCTGTAATATATTTTGGAAGAGCTTTAAAAAATTCAGTCTTATGAAATTCAGAATTGAAATCAAGCCCTCAGGGAACATCTTGCTTTTGTAATAATAATAACACAGGTGATGATGATCATAGAAATTATAGTAGAAGCCTGGAGACCATCTAGACTACTCTTAGGAAATATCTTGGTTATAGATGGCACCATTGACAAATTATCAGCTGTGTATGTGGGGGAGAATTTGTGTGTGCTGAATCAAGAGCATGAATATTTTGTCATGTGAAAAAAAAAAACTCCAAATAATTTTCAGATGTTTTCACCTAAGTTCACCTTATCAGGTTGAAGATCAATATAGGCACCTGAGCATTTCACAATCATGTTATAGGGAGTGGGGAAAGAACATATTTCCTTCAACTCTCCTGGGTTATTCTCAGTATCTAGAAATCAATTGGCCAAAGCCAATAATTCTGCCAAGCTTCTGTCTCTAAAGATCAGGCAGCAGACTACCATGATTCACTAGGGGATGATTAGTGAAAACCTTGCTTCCTGCTAAACTTTCATCCTGCTGGCCAGTTTTGCTATCCTCCGTCACTCTCCTTCCAGAACATTTTCTCTTTTCCCTTTATTTTATTTGTCCTTTTTTTTGACCCAAACTACTCACTTTTCCTTGCCGTCAAAATGCCTCAGCAAATATCCATTCCAACCATGGGGATCTCCCCTCATCTTCAGCCACAAATTCTCCACTGAGCCCCCTTTCCACGCCTTGACAGAAGTCTGGCCCGTCTCAAAAAATACAACTTTGTAGGGTCTGCTTTCTTCTCCACTCCACCTTCCTCAGCCACCAACCTCTCCCTCCAGTGCTGCTGCTTCCAGAGTATTAATGCATTAGCTTTTAACCTTGTGCAAAACTTCTTCCTACTTTGATATTATCCCATTAGGTTACCATCTTTTCACACAAATAACATCTGTATCATATGTTTTTGTATCATATGCATGTAATTTTATCTTTTTCTGGGGGATATGGGGTGGTTGTGGTAGCTGAGCTATTTATTTTTAATGGCTCACACAAAAATGAAAGCAAATTATGCATCACATTTGGTTTATATTAAATAAGTCTGCTCTTCAAAAATATCAGTAGGAAAATGAAAGGCAAACTGTAGCCTTCGAATCAGATATCTAACAAAGGACTTGCATTCACTATATAAAAGGAGGCTTCAGAAAGTTTGTCAGAAAATGTAATTGGAAGATAATGGATTTTTTTCCCCCATAAGCTTTTTCGAGACTCTTCATATAAATAATGCTTACAACTCTAATAAGATTTCAAACAATGCCCAATTTACTTCTTTATAAAATTTTATAATTTCTGCCTTTTATATGAAGGTACTGTAAACATTTGTGAAGAAAATCCCATTATTGTTTACTTCCATGTTTCTACAAACTTGTTGAAACTGCCTCATGTGTGCTTGTTATTTATATTTGTGCACTATTTGCAAGTTATACAATATATTACTCCCTTGCTTTCCTTGTTTGTGTTATCTACTGACCTAATGCCTGGGACAATTTAGCATCTAATTTTCTACTCTTTCAACTTTATACCTTTAGCTGCTCTATTCTTTGAGTACTTAATTTCTAGTAATGTTCATCTATACCCCACCCTTAGAAACCCACAATGATGGTCATAACCAGATCTTGTCATAATTAAGAATTGTCTCACTTCTGAAACATTAATCTGAAATTCCCATTCTGATCATAGTCTTATTTCTTCAAATTATTTCATTAGTTATTTTTACTATATAGACATCATACAATTGGCGATCATTGATCCATCATTCTTTCTTAGTTCACTCCATCTTGTCATCAATGCCCTTTCTGTCTACATAGATGTGGCCTATTGAGTTCACATTAGGTTGCTAACCTCAAAGTTAGTAGTTCAAATCCACTAACTGTTCTGAGTGAGAAAGATGAGACTTTCTACCCCCATAAAGACGCACAGTCTCAGAAAACAACAAGGGCAGTTTCTCCCTGTCCTATAAGGTCCCTATGAGTTGGAATGGACTCTGTGGCAATTATATAATCTTCAGTCAACCTGAGCAAAGGGGTGGAGTCTAGCCTGTCAATCAGGTCATAGCCAATGAGACCTCTGTGTGGGAATGGCCTTCTCCTTAGAATTCTGTGAATTCTGTCTTCCTCCCTGGAGGCAGACACATAGTTTCTCTGCTTCACCTTCCCATTGACAAGCTACATGGAGCCATGCTGCTGCCAGCCAGAATCCTGGAGATGCTTTCTCTGCCACAGGATCCACAAGACTTTCCACCAACAGGCCTGTGATATTCTTGAATTCATCATTGTACAAGTTGCGTGAGTCTGAAGAGGAATTTATGGTATGGTATCAGACATATGGGCTAAGATAGGACTTAGGGACTTGATCTGGACTGGGCCAGGATGTTTTCTTAATATACAATTTCACTTTGATATAAAGCGTTCTCTTACTCACATGCATTTTCTGGATTTGTTTCTCTAGTTGACCCAGACAGACTCCATGGCAGGGAGTTTGTTTTGTTATGTTTGTGTTTGGGGTCTTGCAAAAATCTTATATACCCCCATTTAAATTACTCTCCTGGTAATAGTATTACACCCCATCTCATTGCTTCCAATTCTTTGTGTCAAATTTCCATCCCTGTTTCTCTGCATCTAACAAAGCAAGGCTGCTGCAATTGTATGTTTGATAATAATGTTGATAGCACTGTAAATTATCAGTACCCAATCTATACTAGGACTTTAATATATTTTACATTTTCCCACTGAGCAATTTCCACTTTGATCTCAAATCTCTCATTCTGCTCTTCTTCCTCTTGGCCAATAAACTTGCTTACTACCAAATCTACAAACAAGCCTCCCAAAAAAGAGAGAGTTATTTTTCTGGGTAGAGATGAATTCCTGCTTCTGTGCTCGTGATTCTATGCCCAATTTTACCAAGACATATTTTTCTTCACCTTCAATCATTATTTTCCTTCTCTCTCATTTCTATCATGCAGTAAATATACTCATTGTTCTCATATATCAAAAGCCCATACTTCAACCTCACAAATTCCAAAGCTACCTTTCTTTCTGATCTCTCTTCCTCAAATAAACCTTTTGGAAGAGTTGTCTGTGTTTACTACCCCTGAGTCTCAATTTTATTCACCCTTTACCTTTTATAATTTGGATTTTGGGAAGTGGGTGTTAGCAAACCCAGAGACAACAGAGCAACAGGTGATCTAAAAATGATGGCAAGAAAGGTGTATGATGCCTAGTAAGACTTGATCAAGGGCAATGTAACTGAGAGGAATTACTGAAACCTGAATGAAGGCCGAACGTGATAATGGGACAAGAGGAGAGTAAAAGCAAATAGAGGAAAGAACTGGGAGGCAAAGGACATTAATTGAGGTCTAAAATCAGGCATGTACATATATAAATATACTTATAGTTACATATATAAATTTATTTTTATATAGTGATAGGGAAATAGATCTATGTATATATTTATATGTTAAGTATTAAGGTAGCAGATGAACACTGGGCCTCTACTCAAGTACTCCCTCAATGCAAGAACACTTTCTTCTAATAACCTGGCATTCCAGCTTCCTGGCTCGATCGCTGAAGACCAAATGGATGCATAAACAAAAGTGGTGAAGAAAGCTGATGGTGCTTGGCTATCAAAAGATAGAGCATCTGGCGTCTTAAAGGCATGAAGACAAACAAGAGGCTATTTAGCTGAAAAGGAACAAAGTCCACATGGAAGAAGCACACCAGCCTGTGTGATCCTGAGGTGTTGAAGGGATCAGGTATCAGGCATCAAAAACCCAGAACAAAAAATCATATCAATGTGAATGAGGGGGAGCACAAATTTGAGACCCAAAGCCCATCTGTAGGCAATTGGACATCCCCTTATAGAAGGGTCACAAGAAAGAGACGAGCCAGTCAGGGTGTAGTATAGCACCGATAAAACATACAACTCTCCTCTAGTTCTTTAATGCCAGCCCCCCCCACTATCATCTTTTTACCTTACAAATCTGTCTAGACCAGAGCATGTACAGGGGTACAGATAAGAGCTGGAAACACAGGAAATCCAGGACAGATAAACCCCTCAGGACCAATAGTGAGAGTAGCGATACCAGGAGAGGAAGGGGAAGGTGGTAGGAGAGTGGGGGAACTGATCATAATGATCTACATATAACCCCCTCTTGGGGGATGGGCAATAGAAAAGTGGGTGAAGGCAGATATAGGTCAGTGTAAGACAAATTATCAAGGGTTCATGAGGGAGTGAGGAAAGGGTGGGGGGAGGCGATGAGGAGCTTATACCAAGGGCTCAAGTAGAAAGCAAATGTTTTGAAAATGATGATGACAACAAATATAAAAATGTGCTTGACACAATGGATGTAGGTGTGGATTGTGATAAGAGCTATATGAGCCCCCAATAAAATTATTTAAAAATAAGTCAATAAAAATAAAAACATATTTAACCCCCCAAAATTGGCTTTTGATTTCACCCTTCACAGATCCATGGATGAGCGGCAGGGGTGTGAACAGAAATGGGAATACTGATGGTTTGACATTAGGGAAGCTGTGCAACAGGGTGGTATCCTCTCTCCATAGTGGTTCAACCTGTATCTGAGACAAGCGTTAGAGAAGCTGGGTTATATAAAGAAGACTGTGGCAACAGGATTGGAGGAAGGCTTTTTAACAACCTGAAATATTCAGGCAACATAACCTTTCTTCTTGAAAATGAGGAGGACTTGATGCACCTAATGATGAAATTCAAGGATTACAGCCTTCAGTATGAATTACAACTCAATATAAAAAAGACTGAAATCTTCAGAACTGGACCAGTAGGTGACATCATGATGAATGGAGAAATGCATTTGTCGTGTTTGGATCCACAATCAATGCTCATGGAAGCAGAAGTCAAGAGAGCACAAGACACCTTACATTA